CTTACACTGCTCGTACTCTGTCTGCAGCCTGCACACACGCACACACACACACACACACACACACACACATGCAAACGCACACACACACACACACACACCTCTCCAGCATTAACAACAATATCATATTAATACAACTATAAACATACAAATACAAATTACATTTGAAAATCAAATCCTGACGTTAAAACCCCTAAAAGCTCATTAAATGTTGATGAACTAAAATCACTGATGAATCAGTTCTTTGTTTTAAACCATGATGCTAAAGTGAAAACAGAAGCTGCTGTTTGTTTGTTTGTTTGTTTGTGTGTTTGTTGACCTCACCGCTCCAGAGCGCGCTCAGTGCTGCCGCTCCTCTCTCTCTCCAGGCTGTAAGCTCTCTCCACCTCTCTGAACTGAGCCCTCAGCAGCTCCAGGCTGCACTGCGCCTCCTGCTGGCCGGACCGCTCCACCGCCACCGCCGTCTCCAGGTCCCGCACCCGCAGCTGCCAGGTCACATGATTACAGAACCTGAGTTTGTTTGGCCGCTCTGCATCAGATACACCAGCTGCTCTCTTGCTGTGTCTCGACCCGGCACTGCGCACGTCTGTGCTTTATTATGGGTGTAAACATGAAGCAGGTCTGAATCTGAGGAGGAGGAAATGTGTGTTTGTGTTACCTGGATGATCTCAGAGTTGAACTTGGACTCCAGGTGAGCCGCTCGCTCCGCCTCGACGCTCGCCTCCAGAGACCTCACCCTCTGATCTGACACCTAGAGAGAAAGAAAACATAGATTCAATCAGCCGTTTTTCCACCTTTCTCTCCTCCATCTGTTCCTCTCTCCATCTCTTTCTTCAGCTTTTCACCTCCTCCCCTTTAAAGTTCTCTTCTACCTTCCCCCCCTCCTTCTCCTCACCTCCTTCTCCTTCCTGCTCCTCTCCTCTCCCTCCCTCAGGTATTTCAGCTCGTCTGCTTGTCGTCTGTTCACCTCGGCCTCCTTCTCTCTCTCCTTCTGCACCTCCGCCATCCTCCTCTCCGACTCCTCCAGAGCCTCCTCCTGGTCCTGGAAGACCGAGAGAGTGAACCGATGTTCAAACACCAAACACGATTAAAAACAATAACTGCGCCTCCTCATCTGAACTCTCTGTGTGTGTGTTCGACCTGCAGCAGTCGGTGCAGTCGCTGGTTTTCAGAACTGAAGCTCTGAATCAGTTTGTCACGCTCCTCGACTTCCTGCTGCAAAGCATGCTGGTCCTCCTCCCTGGCGTGTCGGGTGATGTCCAGAGCTTTCTGCAGCTCCTGCAATGTGTGCTGGAGCTCTGCTGCTCGCTCTGACACACACACACACACACACACACACACACACACACACACACACACACACACACACACACACACACACAATCACCATTTTTTATGTATTGAGTATTATACCCACTACAGTTGTTGCCGGGTGCGTTTGATTCGTGTACCTGTGAGTGTGTGTTTGTCTTGGCTGAGCTTGGCGGCTCGGTCGGCGTCTCTCTGACTCACAGTCAGCTGATACTGAAGCTCCACCCTCTGAGCTTCACCTCGCTCCACTGACGACCTCAGCCGGGTCAGCTCCGCCTGCAGCCTGCACAGCTGAACACACAGTTTATCAGACTTCACACCGCTCCCTCTGGAGACTCTTCACCTTTAAAGGCCATGAAGTCTTTTTTGTTTCTCACCTCCTGGTTGTGGCTAGACGTCAGCTCCAGCTTCTCTTTCTCCAGCTGGTTGACTCTCCGCCTCAGCCTCCCCCTCTCCTCGCTCCCGTCACCTCCCTCTGACGCCGCCCTCCTCCCTCTCCCATCCCTCCTCTTCCCTCCATCTCCTCGATTTCTGTCCCTCCCTCTCGCTCTCTCTCGCTCCTCTTCCTCCTCCTCTGCCTCTCTGCTTCCTCCTCCATCTCTTGCCGGCTTCTCTTTCCGTTGCATGACGGTGATGATTTCTTTCAACCTGAAGAAAAATGAGAAATCTAGTGAGGATAAAGAACCACAGCGACGACAAAACAACTACAGAAAGATGCAGAACTACACCTTCAAGACTGTAGGAGGGTGGAGCCATTTAAGACCCCACTGTCCCTGATCTGAGACTGTTTCAAAAACAGATTGTGTGATGTGCTCAGCAGCAGTTGTTCTTTATTGTGCCTGTGGTTTATACAAATGTACAATAAATCACACAACCATTTAAAAAAAGTAGATGTTGCAGGACTGTTGTAGCACTTCTAGTAAAAGTTGTATATTGTACATCCATGTTCAGAAAAGAAGTTAAAGGGGAGAGTTACTTCTTTAAAATGTAAATACTCAGTCCCCACCTTGATATCTCCTCCTCGGAGCTCCCGACAGAGCTGACCGCAACCTTGGACCGGTTCCCCCGCGGGTCTGCTCGGCCGTGCCCGCTCTCCCCTCGCCGGCCGCGGGCAGGCTGTCTCCTCTGCTCCGCTGCTTCGGTCTGCATCGCTCCGCTTCTGAACGCAGTTTAGTTTTTTATTATTTTTAACCCTGGGAATGACAAACATCAGAAGCTGTGTTGGTACCGGGGGAGGCCGCCTGGTTGCTCGGCCGCTGGTGTTGCCTTGGCACCAGATGCACTCCACCCATCACATGAAGCTCAACCGATCTCCATTTACAAACCTACCATGTAAATATTCACTTTAGTATTGCCAGAGTTATGTGCCTCCTCCAACAAAAGTCAGACTGTTGACGTATCATGCTGGACCAACTTGTAAATTCGGCATATACCAAACACACCGAAGACGCTTAATTCTACTTATTTTTTAAAATTTATAAATCACAACCTTCATCCTCCAAATCTTTTAGCGATGGGCGGCGCTCAACGGTGTCAACACTATCCAGCTATTTTACTCACATTTAAGAGCTGCTTGACAAACCCTATATATGCCGAATTTACCACATAGTCCTAACGATTCACTAAACTTGTTAACGCTTGTTCTACAATGTCTATACTTGTGTTAGCAAACAAACAAAATCAAAGTCTTACACTTTGTGAATGGGGTTATGTTGAGAACGAAATGCAACCCGAACAAAGGCCATTTTGACGGTTAATATTCAACAAGAACATCTTTGTTTGCTCTAAACTGAGTTTAACCAGATAAACACGGTCTAAACCACCGAATATAATAACAACTTTATTAGGAACCATGGAAATAGCTTGTAATGAACTTTAATTGACACTTACTTCAACATTTAATCGGGAGCCGTTTGAATCCGACGCCATCTTCAGCGTCCCTACGTCATTTCCACATGAACTCCGGATTGGCTGGAAGACGGACCAATGGTGACAAACGTTTCTCTATTGACGTATCGAAACGTACACTAGAGGGCGCTGTGAGCTGTTTACACCGGAATCGCTGCCGTGATTCAGTGTGGAAGAACAGGGGAACGCAAACAATATGGCGGCGTCCACAGAACACGTTGAAGCCGCATCCACAGCGACTGAAATGGATAAAACAGAAGCTCCAGAGACCATCAGAGACCCAGAAACCTCAGACTCGGAGCCTGTAGGTCAGGAACAAGACCCGGATCCTGACGAGGACGAAGACGAGGACGGAGGTGAGCCGCCGGGTCCGAAGATCCGAGACACACCGCAGGACATCCGACTGGAGGCGATCGCCAACACGGTGGCGCTTCACCCCAGCCGGGACCTCCTTGTGTGCGGGGACGTTGATGGAGACGTGTACGCCTTCTCTTACTCCTGCACGGAGGGGGAGAACCGGGAGGTGTGGTCGTCCGGACACCACATGAAGTCCTGCCGCCAGGTGCGCTTCTCCGCGGACGGGCTGAAGCTCTACAGCGTGTCCCGGGACAAGGCCGTCCACCTGCTGGACGTGGAGCGGGGACAGCTGGTCACCAGGATCCGCGGGGCGCACGGAGCTCCCATCTACAGTCTGCTGCTGGTGGACGAAAACATCCTGGCGACCGGTGACGACGGCGGGACCCTGAAGGTCCGAACACAGAGTATTTCTCCTTATTTAAAAACAGTGTATAAGCCGTATCCAGATACTGAAGGTTGATGGTCTTTATGATCTAACATGATCTATGGTGGTCTTTTAATAGGCCATGACTTGTTTTGATGGTCTGATCTGGTCTTGTAAGGCGGTCTTTTGATGATAACACGATCCATGTTGGTTTTTTCATTGTCCAAATTGGTGTTTTGATGGTCCAGCCGTGTAAGATGATCTTTGTAAGATCCAAAATGGTCTTTTAATGGTCTAGATATATCTCCCATGGACTGAACCAAATTCAGACCAAAGGACAACCAAGATCCAACCTTTTGATGAAATTTCACATCAATGCAATAAAATTTTCTGAAATTTCTAATGAATTTTTTTTTCTTTTTGTGTGTGTGTGTTCCTCTCTGAAGGTGTGGGATATGAGGAAAGGGACGGCGATCATGGATCTGAAACACCATGAGGATTACATCAGTGACATCGCTGTGGACCAGGCCAAGAGGATCCTACTCACCACCAGGTAACAACAGTTTCCAAGACAACCTCGTTTACTTTGACAATCGGGTCATTACTAATGAGTGTTGTTAAGTTAAAGGGTTAAACGAATGTTTCTGTGTGTACTTTACATCATGACTGACCAAAGGCCCAAAGCATGCTGTCGGTTTGTAGATTGTACAATTGTGTCCCGTTCATTTTAGCAAGCTATGAAAGTCAACATGTAAGCAGGGACTTTTTGATGCTTTCAAAGACGCCTCAAGCTGCTCAGCCAACAGTGTAAACATGTTTCTCTTCATTATGGAGTCATAGGAGTGCCATAAAAAACAATAAATCTATAAAAGAATAAGTAAATAAATGTGGAAATATAAACAGGAATAAATAAGTAAATAAAAGAGAAATATATAAAAGAATTTTAAAAAATGCTTTTCCCCTGTTGCTTTTGCTTTTCCCCTAAGGTTAAAGCAGAGGCAATGGGGGTAAACTGGGTTTTAAATGATCCAATTTGGTCTTTGACTGTCCAAGCTCATGTTTTAATGGTCCAAGTTTGTCTTTTCCAAACTGAACAATCATCCAAACTGATGTTTTTGATGGTTTAAGTTTGATTTTGTAAAATGGTAACAATTACCAAAAGTTTGCTGTTCAGTAACTTTAAGTATCGGCCACCAAACAGCAAAGTCTTTTTAAATGGTCTACTTAAATCCAAGCTCGACTTTGATCTCCTGTGATTTGACACAGTGGTGATGGTACCATGGGCGTCTTCAACATCAAGAGGCGGCGGTTCGAGCTGCTGTCGGAGTACCAGAGCAGTGATCTGACCTCAGTGGCGCTGATGAAGCGGGGGAAGAAGGTGGTTTGTGGCTCCAGTGAGGGGACCATCTACATCTTCAACTGGAACGGCTTCGGGGCCACCAGCGACCGCTTCGCTGTCAAGGCTGAGTCGGTGGACTGCATCGCCCCCATCACCGACAACATCATGTGCACCGCCTCCATGGACGGGTATATCCGGTGAGTTGGGTTATCATTGGCTCTTTTTGAAAGCTTACCTTCATGGTCTTGCTGGCCACCAATCTCAAACAGCTTAGCCCAATTTTCTGTCTGTTAGTTTGCCCTGGGTTTCCTTCTTTGATGTTTCCCACCACATGGCAAGTTACTAAGTTGTGCCTGTCCTCCATCAGGGCCATCAACCTCCTTCCCAACCGGGTTATCGGCTGCATCGGGCAGCACGTTGGTGAACCCATCGAAGAGCTTGCGAAGTCCTGGGACTCCCGCTTCCTGGTCAGCTGCGGCCACGACCAGCTCATCAAGTTCTGGGACATTTCCAGTTTACCCAACACAACTGTCAACGAATACCGCAAGAGGAAGAAGAAAGACGGACGGATGAAGTCTCTCACCAAGAAAGCCCACGGAGACAACGACTTCTTCTCAGGACTTGTAGAGGAAACAGAAAAGAAGAAGGAAGAAGAAGAGGAGGAAGAGGAGGATGATAGTGATAGCGACAGTGGCAGCGATTAAAAAGCTGTTTCACTTAGTTTCATGTTTGTCGTTACTGTGCCTTTGGACAGTTTAGTCCTAAATGCTCAATGCTGTCATCCAAAGTGCCTCAAAGTGTCTGGCGTATGAACATTACCATGGATGGCATTGCGGCAAACACTAGTAGCTATTGAACTTCCAATCCCAGCAGTGTGTTGGTCCCTCATTTTAGACAGGTCTGTGACCAAGAAACAAACCATTGGTGTTACTGTTTGCAAATGGAAATATGAGGTTACAAACACAAACATGGTGGGATAAACAGTGAATCTCCCAGAAGTGTAAACACTCTTTATGTCAAATGCATACTGACTGTTGATGGACCAACTATTATAACAAATGATTGGACACTAAAATACTGGGAAATAATAACTTTGTAATGTTAAGGTGGGTGTTGAAACTCAGTGTTTTTGAATTGTTTATGTGAATCCTAGAATTGCAACTGGTCGGATTCATTCTTATTTACTTATTCTTTGAACATTTTCTCAGTTTTCAAAAAATAAATCAGCATTTGGCAAAATGTTGATTTATTTAGGCTAAAGCTGTTTTGGTTGCTTGTGTTTAAACAACATTTGAGAATGTTGGCTTTTTTCAAAAAGGGTTTGTTTTTGTTTTTTTTTGGGGGGGGGGGATTTCAATTTGGAAAAAAAGGTGTTGTTTTTGGTATTAACACCAAAAGTCTGGTATATGTATTTACAAATAAATCTGAACAAGCAGTGAGAAAGACATTCTGCTAGCATTGTTAAATGTGAGATAGCAACAGTACATCTCATACATTCTGGGTAAATTTATATTAAAAATGTATTTGTATTAAATTAATTTAACTGATTAATTATGTTTCATGTTGTCTAAATAAGTTGTTTAAATGTATTCAACATATCAGTTCATAAAATGTGAAAAGAGGTGAAGAAATTGAGTTTAAAGAGTTAAAGGGTTTACTAGGTGAGGTTTTCTATTAATAACGTGACACGCATATAAAAATTAAAGTTATTTGATAAAACACAACTTTATGACAAATGCCTACGATACAAATGAAAGAGTTTAGGTTTTTTCGCTTACAAAAATTAGGATATTTTGCGATTCGAGACGTTTTCCCCAAGATGGTACAATCGTCCCCGCATCCCTCTCCTCTCTGAATGGTATGCTCCAACCGCAGGCGGGAAAGCATTGAGGGTCACGTGACAAGAACAAATCAGCCAACATGGCTACGAGTCGGACAGTAGCTTAGTAACAAGAGGCTTCCTGTTGCAGTGAGGAAACACAGAGGCGCTAGTTTACGGAGGATTGCTGCCCGGTTTTAGGTAAGTTTACGTGCTTCAAACGACCAACTGACAAAGCTAACGTAGAGCTAGAATGTTAATCCTACCGTTAGCAGTGACGTCAGGCTGGGTGAGCTAGCTTCTGTGCTAACATGTATGTAACGCCTGTATTTGTAAACAGTGGGTGGACATGCTGCTAAAAACGAAACCGCTGACACAATGCGACAGATTTCACCGTAGAAATGTTTGTCAACGGCCTCTTTTCACTTTTAATTTCGATTGTTTGATTGACACGACGGGCTGTGTTGTCAAATCAGCACAAGCAAGAGTGACGGTTAAAAACTGGATCAAATGAACAGTATTTCCATTAACGTTAAAACCCCTGAAGGAAAGAGCAGCATTTTTATAACATACGTAAACAAATTACCAGAAATTACCAGAATAATAACTGCTGGTCTTTGTGGGAGCTTCATTTATATGTGTTTTAGATTAATTTATTTTGAAAGTAATTACAAATATTGTTTGAGTCCAGAGTGAAATATTTCCACCCAACAGCACAGGAAGAGGCAGTTAATCATAACGTGGTAAAGATGTAAGTTAAGTGTGCTCGGCCTGCAACTGACATTTATTTTCATTATTGATTAAGTGATTAGTGATGAAACATTTTAAAGAAATGCCACAAAATGTCTCTGAGCTGAAGAAATGATTAATAGATTATCAAAACAGATTGACATCTGAATACTTGAGGCTGTTTGAAAATGAAACAGGCTTTTTTTCACAGTTTTAAGATGAATTATAGGCAAAATTAATAATTAATTGATAAAATAATTGCCAGATTAGTTGATAATGAAAATAATCATGCAGCCCTAAAATTAACATTGACGGTAACAACCCCAATCTGGTTCAGGGTCTGTTGAGTATTAGCTAAAGATGTATGTAAAAAAAAAAAAAAAACTAAACTAAACAATTAATCCCAACAGAAAATTAGCTGGTAATTATTTTGATTATCAAATTAACCATTTAGTCACTTCTGTAGGAAAAAGACCTTCATCATTCGTCCAGCTTCTTAACTGTGGGAATTATCTTCTTTCTTTTGAGTCATAGACAAAACAAGTCACGAATAATCTGTGACTTCAGGAAATAAACTCCAGACAAAGCCTTTATTACAATGATACAATTGGAAAACAGATTTATCTTTGTTGTGATTATGTCTGAGATCACACAGAGGAAGAAAGGAATTCACTGACAACAGTGGGTGAGTTCAGTCTAAATGGATCCTCTGTTTTCAGGTGACTGTGCAGTGGTTGATGGTTCGATTCCCTCTGTGTGCTCGGGCTTTGAAGCAGCGAGATGCCGGGGAAAAGCAGCGACAGCTTCAAACCAGGAGACCTGGTGTTCGCCAAGATGAAGGGCTTCCCTCACTGGCCGGCCAGGGTAGGTACAAGTCACCGCACATACAAACTGAATACAGTGTCCAACACAACTGAGTGGAGTCTCACTGAAATGTTAAAGGGTTAGTTTTATATGTAATGTGATGCTTCTGTGTGTGTGTGTTCAGATCTGTAAGTCGGATGACGGATACAAGAAGCGAGTCCCGGTCTTCTTCTTCGGGACCCATCAGATGTACGTACACATCGTCTACATACGAGGGAATATCGACAGCAGTGATTGGTTGAACTCTGACTGATCTCTCCCCTCCCTCCCTCAGAGGTCACCTCCCTCCTGAGAACATCGTCCCCTACGTCGGCAACAAGATGAAGTACGGCAGCGGCGTTCGCATCAAAGGCTTCACCGAGGGCATGTGGGAGATCCAGAACTCTCCCGGAGTCGGCAGTAAACTCAAAGTCAGTGTTGTCTGTTTGTGATGCTTTAATAGTTATTTTCATTATCGATTAACCTGTTGAACTTTATTTCAGTTTAATTGTTTAGTCAGAAACTGACAGAAAGTAGTTACCACAACAAAGATCTTCATTTCACTGTGACATAAATCAGGAAATCAGCACTAATGTTTGATTTGTCAAGTTTTCACTGGATTATTTGGTTCTGTAGTTTCCTCAGACACCAGCAAAGACCAACACACAGGTGACACCTCCCAAACCCACTTCTTCACCTAAAACTACACCTACTAAACTCACTTCGGCTCCCAAAACAACTAATGACAAACTTAAAAGCCCCCCGGCAAAATCAACTCCCAGTAAAACTCCTGCCGCGAAGCCCGACAGTAAACCACCACCAGCTGCTGCTGCTGCTGCTGCTAAAACAACAACAAGAGCTTCTTTAAGATCTGCTCCAGACAAAACGACCGAGTCCCGACAGACTCCTGAAACTTCGGCTCCAGACTTGTCAGAGAGGACAGCGACTACAAGAAGCAGAAGGTCGGAGTCGAAGGCGGCGGCAGCGGCGAGTGGTGATCCACCTGCAGGAGGGAGGAGGAGCAGAAACACCACCAGCAGCTCTCCTGCAGCGAATGAAAAGGAGGTTTGTGTTTAAGTGTCGCCATCACTTAACGTGTAAAGTGAAAACACGTGTTTCCCAAAACCTTGGACGTTGAAAATAGGTTGAATTAGTATCTTAACAAAATGTTGTGGAGTGTAGAAAAGAGATTTTATTTGACACAGAGCCTGTTAATTAAAGACATGACACACAAATCAATGAGTTTCTTTGTGTCTTCAGATAACGGCGAACGCCACAGCAAGTGAAACCTCCGCTGAAACAACGTCAGGCAAAGTGACAGAGGCCGAGAAAGCTGAACCCGACTCTGCAGAAGCTACTGCTACAAGTCCGGCCACCACCCGGAGCAGGACAGCTGAGTCCAAGGTAACTGTCCCGCCAGCGCTCCGTCCACAGGGGGTCCTGCTTGGAAAGACGTCGTCAGGGACGGACGGATGACTCCTGATGACGGAGGGTCCTGGTTTGGTCTAATTCTTGGTGTGTTTGTTTTCTCAGGTCGTTGCTGAGCAGCACAACAAGAGGACGTCTGCTAGTCCTGCTGTGACGACTCCAGGTAACTGACACACACACACACACACTCCTTCACTTTACTGTGCTGAAGGTTTTTGTCCATTAATCTTCACTCAACCTGTAAAGACAAAGTGAAAACACGTTTTCAGACATTATTGTAACTTCATCAGGAATGAGACTCGAGCTGTGCGACCTGGTGATCTGATATCCTGGACGATCTTACTGTGGCACTTCTCCGATGAATCACACAGATATTATATATTTAGATTAGGGTTGTGCCATCTTAACCGCAGTCCGATCGTTGCCCTGTCACATTGTGGACATTACCAAGATATGATCGTTACGTTACGTTGAGGGTTCGCCTTCTTTCTCGTCTGTGTGTAACCTGAGCGACGACAGGAAGATGACAAATACATTTTATGGCTGTTAAAACTAAATTGTCATCACAAATAATACGTCTCTCTCATATAACATACACACATGAAACTGTGGCAGGCAACTTAGATTTAATATTAATGTAATCCGACAAGAAGCAGTCAGATATCGCCTCGACATTTGTAAAGGCATCGCTGATCGTTCTCATTATCGTTGTTCACCGATATCGCCGTTCTTCGGCACAACCCTAGTTTAGATGTTTGATTTGATTGGGGAAGCGGGATGCTCTCTGACGCAGCTGTACTTTCTGCCAATAACCAATAATCAATAATCTTTAGAATGAAACTGCATCAGACGTCCAAGTTAAAACTGTCTCTTTCTCCAACAGCCAGTAAGAAAGTGAAGACCACAGAACAAACGTCCAGGAACAACAGATCACAGAGAGACCGGACGGATGAGAAGGAAGAGAAGACGTCACAGAGTCAGGGAGTCAAGAGGAAGACAGAAGGGAGGGATGAAGAGGAGAAAACAGAAGAGGAAGTCATCCATGAGCCAAGGAGTGAAAAGAAAGAAAGAGGAAGAGGAGAGAGTGGAGGAGAAGAAGAAAACCAAACAGGATGAAGGTGTGGAAGGAAAGACAGACGTGATGACGAAAGAGAAAACAGAAGAGAAGAAGTCAGCGGAAGGGATGAAGACGAGGAGAGCCGAGAAAGAGGATCAGAGGGAGGAGAGGAAAACAGAGGATGAGAAGGACGTGAAGAAAGAGGAGAGGACCAGGAGAGAGACGAGGTCAGAGAGCGAAAGACAGGGAGAGCAGAAAACAAAGGATGATGAAGAAGGAAAGAAAGAAGAGATGAAGGGAAGAGAGGAGGCTCAAGGGACGAAGAGGAAGAGAGAGAAGAAGGTGCAGAAGAAAATAAAGGTGTGGGTGAAGATCGGAAGTGAGGGAGGGAAGAAAGAACAGATGAAGAATAAGAGGACAGAGGAGGACAAAACGAGAGAAGGGACGAAGA